CTTATCTGATGATTTAAACGTCAAAATCTGACGCTTTTTTAAGCCTTACGTTTTATCCATTCTAACCTGACGCTTTTTCCAACCTGATGGTTAAAACGCATTTAACCATTCAGTTAGAAAAAAGCGTCAGGTTGGGACGCTTCAAACCTCTGTATGATTTGGTATTGGGGATAGCCAGTGGGCAAGATCTGAGTTTGAAAATACACACTTTGCTAAAGAATGGTTGAAGGAAATGCCTTTCATTTATTTATTTCTCTCCGAAATTTTTGGTATGTAGACTGATCAATATAATGGCTCGGTTTATGTACTTTGCATATATGTTACTTAGACTGAATCCACTGATATTGTTACGATTAATGGGCAAAAATTTCAAAATAAAAAGCACGATAACAGCAGCGTTTTTTAACTTCACTAAGGTATTTTATTTAGTTTTAAATTATTTTCGACGGTTCGAACTATTGAATTAATATTTTAAATTAAATGGTGATTCTAATTAAGAAACGTTTTGTTGTTCTCGGTTTTTTGAAAAAATCCGTTGTTTTTAAAATAAATACATTGTAAAATTCACAGCGATGCCGTCTTTTCCTCAGTATAGTAATGTATTTATCTCAAATTCAACGAATTTCTTGAAAAAACTGAGAACGACAGAGAGTTTCTAATTAGAATCTCTATTTAATCTAAAATATTAAATATAAAAGTTATATTCACAACAGTAAGGTTGTTGTACTACAAATACAGAAGTTTTTATACTCTGATTTATTTGTAACTCGGGTCTTGCAAAAATATATGTGCACAAGCCTCTAAGATCGTGCTTGAACTCGTTATAAAAGAACTAGCGGTTGCTTTACTTTTTACCTTGTGCCATTCCTCAGGTTATTCTTTGGCATGTGTACTCTCTAAAAGAAAAAGTATTTTAAAATACGGAAAATGGTATAACCATTTGAACCATATCATAACTGTTTAAACGTTTTTTACTTTTACCAGAAAACCCGTTTGACATTTTTAGAATACGAAAAATTTCTGAAAAGGTTTTTTTGTGACATGAGAAAACCGTGTTTTAAAACATAATTTAGCGGTATTTTAGAAAACGAAAATTAGTTTTTTGATAAGAATAAGAAACTTTTAAACAGTTATGATATGGTTCAAAGGGTTACACCCTTTAAACGTTTTTCACGGACGGTTATACCTTTTTTTGGCTTTTCTCAAATGACAAATACCTTTTAGGATTTTTTGAAATACCTTTTTTTTACAGTGTACTCTAAGGATCGGCGATTCGACAGGTTGCTATTCTTTCTAGGGTATCGACAATTACAAAATGTGCAAAACGATCATCTCTACTGACGATTAAGGTGATAGATTCCCTTGTTTTGCATCTGATTTCTTTTAACATTTTTTTTAGAAAAAAGCTAATTTGGTATTTAATTTGTGATTAACAACCTTCCTTGGGGCAGTATGCAATACAATTTTATTTCCACCGCTAAATTTCTATGCATTTTCATTGAAAAATCCAGTTTTAGTTCCAATCTTTGCTTCTGTGAAGCTAAAACATTAAGCATAAAAGAAAGTATAATTCACTTTAAAACATTCGATGAGAGAAACCCGTCGGTTCCCATAGGGTTTGTTTTTGGTTGATCGATTAGCCGATCAACCAAAAAAACCTTATCGGCTAAACGTCAGGTCATGCATGACGGTTTAAGCGTCGGGTATTTTTTGTTTATTCACCCACAGATGACTCATTCGACCTAACGGAAGAAGCGTCAAAAATCGTCATTTTGGCGTCAGGTTGGGACGGATAAAACAGGAGGTTGTATTTATATTTTAAAGGATGTCTCATAATCTGACGCTTTAACAATTAGGTTATCTGACGGTTAAATCGTCATGTTGGAGCGGTTGAGGCGTTGAAGGTTTTTTTACAGCGTAGCTTTCTTAAAACATTGAATATTTCACTCTTTGCAAAAAAAGTAAAAATATGTTGGCCAAATATTAAGTTGAGGCAAAGGGTAGCTTTTAGAGAAAGATTCTAGACTATTATTGATATTACAAAGGTAGAGTAACTACTGTGATTATTGTAGTTCGATGCACCGGTACTTTTCAGTTAAGTACGCATAAAAAAAATAGAGTTCACAGGATATTGGATCAAAATATGCAAATTGTAAAAATCGAAGAAAGAGTCTATTCTTGCTATTCAGTTTTATTTATAAAAGAATAATAAAAAAGACAACAAAATTACCTGTCGTCTTATTTATCAAAATCGGCTCCTTCGAGACGACTAAGCCTGTTTTATTCACGAAAAGTGAGTCATCGAAGGTCACTGACCTGTAATAACAATGGCTCAAGCCAAACAACACAAAAAGAATAATAAAAAAAACAAAATAAAGAAGACAACTAAGGTTAGAACCAGAAGTAGTAAAAAAAAGAACAAAGTTTTGAAAACACAAAAAAAGAAATAAGCAAAAAAGAACAATTATAAATTCATAACTGACAAATGTTTCACTGGTAGAGACACTGACACAAAGCTGTTTTGAAAGACGTTAAACAAGAAATACAAATAACTGACTCTAGGAGATTATTCCAGTCAGCAATAGTTGAATAAAAAAAGAAGAATGCAAGACTAATGTACGTATCGCACTCTAAACGTGTGTCTACAAGATAATAAAAAGAATTGTTTAAATGAGAATAGAACCGTAAGTCAACATTAGGGTTAAACCAACGAAAGTTCAAATATGTAAACTGACCCATCAGAAGCACCTCTCCTCTTTTTCGATTATCACGCTCATCGTTCTGAAACAACATAAATAAAGACGAAGCATTAGTGGTTCGCTCAAAGTCATGTTATAAGCTTATGCGGTAAATAGACAGTACCGGAAAATTTGAAAAAAGAAGCCAGGCATCATGCAAATAATAACTAACTTATAAAACTTTATTGAGTAAAACCTTTCACGATAAAAATGAAAACAGGACAAAATGTTAAACAAGACGGATAGCTATCCATGATAGGTCAGCTATGTCAGCCAATCGAAATAGAGATAGTCGCTTCTGTTGCCGATAGTGGTAGAACAATGTATTAATATAAGGACGGTGGTTGGTTTATCAGTTTTGGATACGTTCAGAATGCCTGAAAGAAAGGGAATACATCTTCAAATTTGAAGATAACACAAACAGAATTTTCCATTGTACTCTTTACTGCCAGTGACAACTTTCACGTAAGGGTACTTCCGCACAGGTCCCCCAACTTTATACACGATTTAAAGTCGGGAAGGTTTGACTATTTGCAATCGATAGTCCTACTAAAGGTGTGTAAAGACCCGTGTCGCCCCACGGAAAAATTATTCCGAACATGGTGTTTCCGCGGCCATAAGTTCTGAATTGAAGCATTTTTAGGGATGCCCGAGTAGCGAAATTTGACTTTATCTAGTAGTATCAAGCGTTCTCATACTGCTAGCTGGAAAGAGCATACAAAGTTGCATATTTCTATCCGCAAATGAGATTTTCTCCACTGACATTCGGAAAGAATTTTTGACTGGAGGACCTTATCTGCATTAGCAGATATCATTGGTTTTATGGCGTGTTGGACGAGCTCAAAACCTAACAAAACATAAACCGCGGAAACACCATGTTCGGAATAATTTTTCCGTGGGGCGACATGGTCTTTACACACCTTTAGTAGGACTATCGATTGCAAATAGTCAAACCTTCCCGACTTTAAATCGTGTATAAAGTTGGGGGACCTGTGCGGAAGTACCCGTAACGATTTTCGATTCCAGTTTTCAAAGCAGCATTATCAAGAAATTTTAAACAAAAATAGGGAAAACGTTTCGACGCTTCGTCGAGACAAAACTCTGTTGTGTATACTGTAATCGACTACGGAAAGTCTGCCTCTACGATCGTTTTCGATGAACAAGCTTTTAAAACCTCTCGACAAGGCTGATGTGCACTTTTTGCTATTTCATAGAAAGGACGTCTAGAATCGAAGGTAGACATCGGTGCACAAACAATTACTTTTCAACAAATTTACCATTAGACAGTACGTCTTGGCTAGTGTCAAGACTATACGTCCGGATGTAGGAGTAATTTTCTACACCGATCTATCGACAGGTAGTACACCATCGTCGACTTTTGGACACCCCGTCTTGTCTACTCCTCTGGTTCAAAAAATCGAGGATTTTTTATTTTTCGGGGTGTCGCAGCCGCACCATTCCCACCTAGGCACGAGGGGCAACTGAAACAAAAATACTAGCGCTAAGAAAGTACTAAGTAGAATATTCAACAATATCAGAGTAAAATTGCGACACCCCCCAAAAATAAAAAATCCTCGAGTTTTGAACCAGAGAAGTAGACAGGACGGGGAGTCCAAAAGTCGACGATGGCGCACTACCTGTCGATAGATCGGTGCACAAAATTACTCCTACATTCGCACGTATAGTCTTGACACTAGCCATTTTTTCATAACCTAAATGTAGAAAAGTTGATGCTCATCTATCTTGTTTTCTATACTGTAGTAAACTCATCTAGTTTAGTTCCCACAAATGATACTGCCATGTTTTCCACTTAAACAATACAGGTATAGAAAATCTTTATTCGACAGCCTTTAATGTGAATGTTCCTGTACTATAGGAAGCACTGGAACTGCCCCACCCTAGTAAAAAATGCGTGATGGAAATGGTAATAAGATTGTTTAATCATATATTAATACGTCGTTGCTTTTCTAGTGAAAATATACTCTCTTGAACGAATAGTCTAGAAAATATCATTATTTTTACATAATAGTTCATGTTTTAGACGAGAATTTTTGTTACAAACGGCAAAAATGATTTTCGAGACAGTTTTGGGAATTTAAGTCATTATTTGACGTTTTATTTATTTACATATAATTCGATAAAACATTTATATAAACACAAAAAATAATTAATAAGAATAAAAAAACTCGAATTTAATAATAAAATTTGGCCAGATTCTAAAATATGTTCACTTTGTAATAATCGAAGTTTTAAACTAAACACTTATTGATAACGACGGTCGTGCATTGTTCTTTCAGTTGGTAAACTAGTTAAAGGATATTTAATACCAATAACACCGCATGCTAATCGACCACCAGAGTTTCTGAAAGTAGAAATTAACGAGTTGAGTTTTATTAAAAAAAGTTATGCAATAGCTATCGTTTTTATACGCAAAATCATTCGATATATTTACCCGGTTTTTCTGCTTTCTTCATTATTAGCCAATCCCAAATCATCTTGAAATTCACTAACAACGAGCGATCGACCTGAAAATACAATATATAGGAAATCGATATTCAGATTAGCTCTTAAACTTTCAATCTTCTACTCTAATGATTTTCTCATTTTCCGCTTTAAAAAGTTAATTTTCGTTTTTTTAACGCTTTAATGTTAACAGTAACGTTAACTCGGCAACGTCTATTCTTAACCCCATCTTACCTATCCATCCGTCTTCACCGAATAAAGCACCATCTTGAATAACGATATATATTCGAGCAACACCAAATGCATCAGTGATAATGTTTCCAAAATCTCCTGTATGACGCGTGATACTCTTTTCACTGCCATGTAGCTTTCCATGAGGATTAAAGTGTCCACCGAGTGATAAACATCCTTTGCTTAAATCTCCAGTTTCATGAACATGAAGACCATGTCTTGTAGATTGTTTTAAATTAAACACAATACCTTCGACAACCAGTGGTGAACCTTTGAATCAAAGACAAAATGATAGAAGTAGATTTAAAGTCTGATATAATTCTTACCAGCATACTGTTGTGTTATTTGAATTTGACCATAGACCTGCGAGCCACCAGGTGCTGGTTGAATAAGAGCTACGCCTATAACGGGGAATGGATTGGCTAATATTAAATTAAGGTGAAGAATCAATAATAAATTTGATAAAATTATACTCGTATAAGAAACTTTCATTTTGATAAGAACGTCTGTGGTCGATAAAATGCAATAGATGAATGTAAAGTTACGAATAAAATTTGTGTATTTCTACTATGCGTCTCTATCAAAAGTAAAAATGTGAACTAATATGGAACATCGATGATACATGTGATGAAGAAAAGTATTGTCGTCCGCCATGACGCGAAAAATATAGAAAACGTTGAAAAAACAGATACACAACTCTATCATTGTGTACTAGCACCAGATTTTATAATAGAAAATTTTATCATCAGAAATCATCTATTTCAAATTCAAAAGCTTTTGTGCAGAGATTGATATACATTGTACGAATTGTGCTCTACATTTTGCAGTCAGTTATTTTAGAGGGGAAAGGATACAAAAAGCATTTATTCACTAGACAGACGGATATCAAGTGTTTTATCGTCGGAATGATTGTATTTAACTTAGAATGACTCTGTCTGTATCTGAAAATAGTATTCTCACAAGAAAAAAATTCTTTTTCTGAAAAAGTTTTAATTTTTTTAAATAAAAAATGCATGAGAGATTTCCCTCCTTCAGGTGAAAATTTTTGATCGGATAAAAATATCTAAGAAGATGTTTGATAACTACATCATTGAATGAAGTTTTACGAGCTGATTCCTAACAAACATTCTTGAGCCGAAAAAATGGATTTTATCTGGAAAAACAAGAGGTTTTAGTAGCCCCATATTCAGTCATTTAAGTAACGTTTTCTCTATGAATTTCAATCCCAAATTTTTAGATTTAATCATGGGAAAGAAAAGGATAGGTCACTATCAATGAACAAAATCAGAATCTAGCCGCATTTTGAAGATACCTCAAAGTGTTACCAGCAAAGAAAAGAGAGGCTGTCTTAGAGTATCATTGTGGATGCATTTTTTAGTATCGCCGTCATTCGATAACCACGACTTGAAGTTCTGAAGTTTGACGTGTGATCGCTTCTGAAATTAATTACATCTGGAACGTAGATTGTCGACCGTTACGAATCTGGCGGAAATGTTTTTTGTTTTAAAAATACATTTTTATATGAAATAGCCCATTTTCTACTGTTTTCATGCATGATTGAAAAATCCTTAACTCAATCAAAAGAAGTTCAAATCATTGTAAAACTTAAAAATTCTATTTTTCCTGTTTTACAGGTTGATAAATTTGGAAGTACGGTACGGTACATTCAAAGAAAACGTGTTAAATCTTTATGGCTAATCACTATCTGAGACTGTTTGAAATACATCCGTCGAAAAGCGACTTTGAAACAATAAACTGCTATAGTTAAACGAGCCCACTTTTGGTAGCCATTCAGGAACATAACCGCATTCCACCTCATTCACTATAGATGCAGTGGATATAAACGCACATTTTGCTACAGTTCTTCGTATCAGATCAGATCTTTTTCTTCATTTACTTTTAAAATTGTACATAACGTATGATAGCGGATAAATCACATCGAGATTGCAAATACACAATTGCAATAACTTTTAGATCAGTAAGTCTTCTCATTCGCCTTAACTTCTTTTATTTTCAATTACAATTTCTCGAAACTAAAAATATATCCCTAGTTTATTTATTTTGAGACAATTGTATTAATAGACTACATGCAAAATAGACATCACTGCATTCTTCAACGACAGTATTTATATGTCGATGAGAGTATACGAAATAAGAGACAAACAAATCATTAAACTTAATTATTAGACGGTAGCGTAGAGAAAATAATATTACGCTTTGCTGATGATGAAGCACTATACTGAGGGTTATTAATATTTGTTATTCTATAGTGTTAGTATCATCTATCGAATGCCATATAGCATGTTACTGTACAACTGCTCTATTCACTGAGGTAAACACAACAATACATAATAATTATTGTGTATTTAATCAAGCAACAATAACATCGACACTTTCCGCATTTTTCGAATTGTTTTTCACTTTCAATAGTGGCATTTGTTATTTGACAAGAATAAAGACCTTGGTTATATTAATCTTTGATTATTAAGGGAGAATTATAAGTGAAACCCATCCATTCATCCTTTTTGTAGACTTTATTATATCCGTATGAATGTATTTAGCAGTGAGCGATACAAGATATATATTTTCATCAATTATTTTACCATATTAACTTAGTTATTATCTGTTTTATTGTTTTATATGGGTATATGTCATACTTATGACAAAAGTATGTGAGTAGAAAAACAAGAACACATAAAAGAAGTAGAGTTTATAGAGATATTTTTTCTACAAAAAACAAATCCAAAAAAAATGCATAAAGTTTTTTTTTCAAAAAGAATTAATGTTCTAAATACATAAATTAAAGTTAGAAAAAAGACAGAACAGCAACACATTAACTTTTATAAAAAAAAAAAACAAAAAAAAACATGGACGAAACATGCTGAACAATATTTTTTGTTGAGCCTACGTATATTTCTTTTTCATTTATAACAACAAAAAAGCAACAAAATGTACAACACATCAGATCAGAGAAACTACATGCTTATTTAAAATACAATCGATATTGTGCATTAGATTATTCTCTCAATTACTGAATAAATTACTGATCTTATTTGACTGTTATACAAACAAAAAAAAACAAGAAAAACGAAAAAAATCATTCTTTCATAGCTTTAGCTCTATTATCGAGCAAAAACAAAAAATTGTATTCATTCATCCTGAGAGAGAGAGAGAGAGCTATGTAATTGACATAAATCAATCTATTTATTCAAAAAATCAATTGTGGCACGAACACATTTTCCGGTTGTTACATCTAATGCGCTCACTTTTATCTCTGTATCACCAAATACCATTCGTGTTTGAACTTCTCGTCGACGTTGCGTAGTTGTATCACCGCCATTTATTTTTTTATCATCATGTAACAACATATCTAATACAAGTGTGCCAATTTTTCTCACACCAGAATCCGTGACGTACATAGGTTTATCACTTTCCGAACAATAAAAACTAATTATACATTGAGCTTGATTAAAACGTGCTGGCGTATATTTTCGAATTACTGTATCACCTAAACCTATCGATTGATCAACAAGTACAAACTTATCGAATATATCAGCACACCATTCAATATTATCTTTAATTATTTTCTTTTCGGATGAATGAAAACCATCGATGAATCGATTTAAAACCGATACACCATATGTTAAACGAGAACGACGAACATTAACAATAGTCGGATCCAAACCAAATAATACTGCTCCTGAAACATAAACTCATGTATGCTGTTATACAAAGACACCGATTTTAATAAAACAAAATGGTGTAGTAGACTTTGATGAAAACAAAATCAGCAGTATTTCTCATTCATTTTCTAAGCCCTTCTATTCAATGGCATTTTTCTTTTGAATCATAGTCAATTCTCATAAACATAAAAAATATTCTCGATAATAGTGAAAATTTCAATTTTGCTAGAAAAGAGGCATGTTTTATTGTAGACATACCTTTTAAAATTGTAAGTGATACATCTTGCGGTATAATTACTACAAAAGAAAGAGAAGAAAAAAAAATTAAATAGAATCAAATTCTTTTACTGATTAAAAAATTTGTATACCTTTAAGGATGGATGAAAATGATCTTCTAATATCATGTTGTAAAATTGGTGATTCTGCAAAGCCGCCAACAAGAAAAAGATATTGAATACCTACAAATAAAACATTAGATAAATGAGAAATATGAAACTTTTTTTGGTGTCAGATAAAAGTTGCTGTTGGGTTTGTTTTTTAATATTACCTCGTACATTTGGACTATTTAATACTTCTCCAATAGAACTTTTAATTTTATCAACAGTTGGTTGAAATAAACGTTTCATTGCTTCAGGAGTTAAACGCATCATGCCTTGTGTTGACCATTTTATCTCGGGATCATTGCTTTTTCGAATAGCGGATTCAACAGTTGAACCCTAAGTAGAAGTCAAATGAATTTTCATTAGACACAATAAATAGCAAAAAAATTGTTGGTTTCAGATGTTTTGAAGGAGCAGTCAGTAAAACTGTCCTAAGAGGGATCAGAGCCCAAGCAATGACAAATATAATCTGCACAAAACACACATCTCAATTATGGTGTACGGAACGTCACTCAGACACGCTTTTTCAACACGTTAATATGATTTAATTACTAGATTCTCATGCGTTAAAATGTAACATGCACGAAACACCATATAGTCAACAGGAAACATTCATAAGTGATCCAATTGTCAAAGAAGTTCTCAAAGAACTACACAAAAGTTTTGACTCATTATCTTTCGAAAGCCACAAATACAGACCTTTAAACTTCGTCTTAAAACTTTATTTTAGTCTCTCAATTAACCAAATAAACCTAATCCATTATTTATGGGCCACTGGCACAGGTAGTCCCATGTGCTTACAATCTGGCTGTATACAAACTGTATTCGGCTCTATGAAATCTCTAAAGATCGGATTTCTGTAGGCCTTTCTAAGGAAGGTCTACAGACCAAAATGGTTCATGACGAAAAGTATGTTCATTGAAAATGAGGTGGATCTCTTGCGAATGTTTCCTCGGCAGTCTTGCTTAGCCGTCGGATGCAAACCAACCAGTCATCTCTCTAAAGTGCGAATCCTACAAAGTATTGGCTAACTATAGAGAGTAGAATTCTCGTATGACAATAAACATCCAATCTGACGAGTATTAGGAGAGCATTGAATTGACTAATTGTTTGATTGAAACAGAACAGTTGTTCGCTATCTAGTAGAATTCTAATTGGTTAAAATCACAACAATTCAGCTCTCATAATGATATTAATTATATATTTTTTTCTTCACACATTGCTTTCTATGGGCATGTTTATTGCTAGATTTCTCTAATATTCAATTCATGTGTAAAATTCAAACTATAGTCGATGTGATTAATGTGCATGAAACGGGAATAAGCAAGATAGTTTATAATCTAACTTTGTAATATATAATATGTATCTGTTAACGTACAATATTCGTGCCAACAACGATATTTTAAAAATGCATTTAATTTACTTAGTACCTTGATTTTGGCATAATAGGCCATTACTGGATTGTGTCTAGGTAAGCTCGTTAATAACTAAAAAAGTTTGCATTCCGACTAACGACTAGCAATAAAACACCATGAAATAATAAAAAAGGGTTTTGCTTATAGAAGGAAAAGACACACACATAAGCAGAGAAAGCAACATGTACGACATATTATACGTTTTTTTTTAATTTTTTTCTTTTATTGAATGGCTAATATCAAGCAGGGTTATTTTAATGGGTTAGTAGCATGTGATTACTAGTTTTGGTTCAAAAAGTGGATCTTCTTCTGCTTGTTCTATTTTTTCGTCGTTGTTGTTTAAACGCACAAAATTAAAAAAAATACGGTGGCTCATGCATAGGTGTGGTTAGAAGAAAAAGAAGCATGAGATAACGATAAAATGAGTTGAAAACATTATTTACATACCTTTTTTTTTTTATAAAAATCAATAAATGAAAATGGTAATGATATGTTTAATGGATTATTTTTATATGGACTCGCTGTTCGTTTTCTTGCTTCAAATGCAATCATTAAATCAACATAACCCGCTGGACGTCGCATTTTAAATTCTTCCATAACTTCAATGCCAAATATTGTATGCATTAATTTCTCAAATTCTTGATCAACACCTTAAATACAGACATATATTTAATATTGAAATTATTCAAACTTAATAATGGTCAATTTATTCTTACCAACCGAACCGAATGGTCCACCTGTTGCTTTGTACAGTTCTTTTAATGTTCCTAATTTATTGTCTAATTCATGAACGGTAATATCTACAGTTCCACCACCACAATCAACAACCATATAACGAGTACCTGGAATAAAAATTAAACATCTTAATATACAAGATAAATAGTACGACTAAAAAAACGTAGACCGACAGTACAGAAGTACAACAACAAGTAATACCTTAACAAAAACCAATTGCTGTTTTTGCATACCTAGACAATCCGCAAAAGAAATATGAGTCGCTGAACTCTAACTTTTTCTTTAGTGTAACGTACCTCTATCTAACATTAATTCCAGTGTTTGACTATTATTATTATGATATTCATGGTCGTTTGATACTAAAAATTCATAATGAAAATAAAAATAAAAAACAAAATAATTTTTCAGATACTAAATTAAATACTCACATTTTGTTGAGTCAGCAATCACCGGCGATTGATCTGAAAATGATGATGATGGAAAATTATCACGTCTTACTATTGTACGAGTATATGGTTCATCCGACATAAACTGATGCATTCTTAATTTTCGAATATAAATTGATGCAGCTTCTGGTTCTAATGCAATTAATAATTGATCAGGAAATTCTCGTGATGCTATTCCGGCCTGATTAAATACAAAAAGTAGAAAAAATTTAGTTCACTTTAGTATAAAAATTTTCTGACTTGATAAGCTGCTTCACGCATAAATTGTTTGGCCGGTTGACGCCAAATGGCTGGTACAGTAATTACCCAACGCACATCTTCATTCATGAATCTTGTACCCGATTGATCGCTTAGTTCTCTCAATGCATGATCTTTAAAATAGCCTAGTGCATGAGTAAAAATTGTTAATGCTGCCACTTTTCGTCCATTACTCGCAGCTATCAACGTTTGAGTATTCAAATCCTATTAAATAAAATCATGAATAAAAGTATTAAAATAATATTAAATTATAGAAATTAACACGTCATACTCTAAAATCGAAGCTTCAGTTTATATAAAATCATTTGACTGTCATTTAGCTGTATTGTATGTAAACTCTCATACGCTGAGAGACTACAAAACTATGATTTTACTTAGTATTTCTAATCCAGAAAACTTTTATTTTGCCTTTTGATCTATCTTTTATGCTGGATTCTTGTATCTGAAACAATAGATTTACTTCAAGTTATTATAATATAATCGAATTTTTTCTGTTCGGAGAGATAACGAATATATGTGCACAATTCTATTTTGCTTGTATATGATTAATGAAACATTTTATTTTATGAAACGGTATATATTTTATATATAGAATATACACATTTATCAGACTGAATGTCACAACGAAAGATTTATATTGATTGCCTAGTTCAAACATCATACACAGAAATATGATAGATATACTTTATTATGTAACCAATAAGCAGAGGTTATACTGAACAATTTCCCATTGATGTCAACTAATTATTCTAATTCACTAAAAAAATAAATTTTAAAAAGATATATTCATTTTCTCTGTTAAATTACATCCAAAAAATATTCGCCTTCATTGAATTACGAGGTTAGCTTTGGAACTTATTATCTGAATAAGATATTTATCTGATATGATATATTAATAAAAAATGTCTTTAAAGCTACTAATTTGCTTGCTGAAAGTGTCCTTCATGTATAATTTACTATTTTACTGTACAAGTTCAGCATAATCGACATAAAATATTATTTTGATTGATATCTAGAAAATCATTTCTAATTATGATGAAAGATCAACTAACAAATGGAAATACTAATCTATAATTTAACACAAGCGTAGTAGTGTTCATAGTTCCCATTAGAGAGCAAATAAGTATCTTTCTAACAGTTATAAATCACTTATATGTGACATTTAAATACAACTGTTTATCAGCAGCTTCTTATTCTCTCTTTTTAGATGAGATTATATAATATCTATGTTTACGTATACATATTCTTTTTCCCTCCTTCTCTCTTCTCGCGTGTATATGTATGTGTAGTTCTATGAATGTTTTTTGTACAAAACTGTATTTAATAATAGTGCAGCTGTTTATTTCTGTTTTTCATTTGCCAAGTCACCTTCATTGTTTTTCATTCATAGACCGCAGAGTATCCTGTCATTTAAACTGAACAATAAAAATCATAAATGTTTTTGTTCATTTGTAATAAAATAAAATAATGTATTATATTTAGTAAAGAACAAAAAAAAAAAAGACGAAAAAGAAAAAATAACATTAATTACATATTTTACTTAGTCTGTTATTTTTTTTTCATACGGTGATTATTAAGTGTAATAGTAGCTGATTTACGTAATACGATTAGTATATGTGTTATTATATAATGTTTCCAATCAGACACACATACCACCTTCATGCAATATACATCATTTTTCTCTTCTCTCTGATCACTCTTCACATCAATGATTTTCCACTTTGTATAGACAGATGTATAATTAAAACGTAAAAAAATAAACAAATAAATAGAGTTATAGTATTTGCCTCAAAACTAATACATTAATTTATAATACTGTTATATTTAAGAATAACTTTTTTTGATCAATATGTTACCAGTTCAAAGTTTGTTCAAGCAATCAACTCAAATCGAATTGATTCGTCATGCTCATGATACAAATATCAGTTCATCAATATGACTTTAGTAACCATTAGAGAATAATGACGAACGTATAAGAACCAAGAAATAGTTAATCTTTAAGGCATCATATAGTTGTTAGATGATTCTAGATGACTTTTTCCTGTAACCATATCACTCGTTACGAGACACTTTATTATCATTGTTATAAACGATTTTTCTATCTATAAAAGATGTTTTTTGTAATTTTATGACGTCTATATCGTGTCAAATATTCTTTCAGAATGTTTATTATTACTAAATGTTGACAGAAAAAAATATCAAGTATAATGTCATAACATATCATTTATTCACGCGTTCCCTATGGTTGCAACAATCAGATTTTCCATTGATCTCAATAGATTTTTCTTTTTATTGTTATTTAAGTATTACAATTTTACAAATACTATACATGGCAAAGTATTGATTATAAATTTTACTAACCTGTGTGTAATGTAAATGCATTTTGAATTTTTCAAAATAGAGCCACTTTTTTGCTTCATCTGGATCAAGATCATGGAAAAAATCTCGTGCAAGAAAACCGAATGAATGAAATGTACCATCTGGCGTTAATAATATTGTTGTTGGCGTTTTTTGATTGATAACTCCTTTAGAGGTAAAAATAAGTTATTTGTGTAAATCACCTAAAACAGATTAAAAAATACTTACCGGGATCACCACCTAGAAAGTAAGAAAATAGTTCAAATTATAATTCACAACTTCGACTTAAATTCCAAAAGTCAATCTATTTCAACCGAGAGAGTCTACAATCTAAATCAATATATTTATTTACCTTCCCATTTTCTCATCATATGTATCATATCTCCACCATCACGTGTAAAAGCAAATGCATATCCACTAAATGTTGTTCCAAAATCAATTGCCACAACGACAAAATGAGATGTATTATTTGAATTAATTAAATTCTGAGATTCATTGCCCGAGTCATCTCCCGAACTATGTCTCTGTGGATGTGAATGATGCGAGTGATAATTGGAAAGTGAAGTATTTAACTGATGTTTAGTCGGACGTGTTATAGTAGAAATTACTGTTCCAGAATGATTTACAGAATATACGCCACTATTTCCCGTTTCCTCGTACGTTGTAGATTTTTTTGGTGAACGCTGCGAGGTCTGAGTTGATTGTGGACTATGATGATTATAATAACTGTGATATTTTGGATTTATATTTGTTATCGATATATTGCTAAATTTTTGACCACCGATAGACGACGACGACATATTATTATTCGGTGACGTACCGAGATAAGTCGAGTTTATATTTGATGTTGATGATGTATGATGTGGATGACTTTGTATAGCTGTTACACTCGATGAATACGAGTTTGGTGACGGAATATTTATAGTATTCTGATGATTCGGAGATAATGAATTTGGAGATGTAGATATGATTGCTGAACATTGTCCATTACTAACGATACTACCAAGACATTCGGCGAGTGAATCTTCATTTCTTTCTGTAACACTTTCAAATCGTTCGTCTTTAATGATACGTGAATGTTCACGACGTGACTCTATATTACTACCTATTCCATCCATCATGGAGTTTTGTTCTGAAATAGAAAGAGAATAGAATGTATGTTAGTTACACTCGCCAGCACAAAAAAAACACCTTAATTCACCGGCTGTAAGAAATGAAAAAAAAAGAAAAATATACCCGCTTGTATATGGAACTAATTAGACTAATTATTGAAAAATTGAGTCTAACAGAGAGATTTAAGATGAATACTGCGCCTTGGGTCTACATTTATCGGTATAGAATGCTACTAGTCTATTTTAAGTAAGAGTTCAGAGCTTTTTTTAACTTTTAGAAGCCCAGAAACGTAAGATCTGAATAATTATGCGAGACAACATTATCCTGTAGTAAAAATAAATAAGATGCTAAAATAGGTCTGTATAGAGAGAATGAACAGAAGTTTTCTCGATTTATCTGTAATCCCACCAATAATGTACGTTCTATTTATTAATATGCATAAATTTCATGCCTAAATACGTCTTCTTCTATTTTTGCTGAAGATATATTTATTTGATCATCACTTAATATCTTAGATATGCTAGAACAAAACAAACATTTATCTTTTGTTACAATGGAACAGAGAAAAAGAAAAGAAAATTTAGATTATTATAGAGAAAACTTTTTTTCCTTCTTCAAAATGTACAGTATTCGCATTATTTTAACTATCATGTATGTGTGTGTATGTGTGTGTGTATGGGTATGTGTGTGCAACAAAAACCAGAAAACAGATTAGAGTGTATTCTTTCGTTTTTTTTGCTCTGTTATATTAAAAGGAATGAAAGATTGTTGTTGTACATGCATTTAGAATCGATATACGTGCAAATGTTGCAAGGTGAACTTAGATTAAGTTTCCAATATATGTTTAGATGTTTCCAGACACGTATGGGCTACGGATAAAAGTATATCATTTTCTATTTGAATGAGAGAAGAAAGAACAAGATAAGAAAATTCCATTTAAAATCGAGAAAAATCTGATCATATAATCAATGTAGATTAAAAGATTGTATAAAACAAAAAGAGAGTTAACAACTTATTTTTATATCAGACACTTGTCGTCAAATGTAACTGGATGGGTTAAAATAGGTTTTAATTATTTAAAAATTGTACGATACAAAACAAGGAACGTATATTTTATTGATAAAACAGTTTTGTCAAGAGTATCACTCACTATTTGTACTCTTTATATCATTCTAAAGTATCCTACACACGAATTATACGAGAAATAGTTCTCTCATTTTTACTAGGTCATCGTCAATTATCAACAGATAATCTGCCTCTTATCGAAAAAGAAAGTATCCGAACTAACATTATATTTTGTAACATTCTCCAAGTTCTGAGTAAAATTCTGATACGATTGATACGGCGCACATTTTAACGATGTATCAGTTGTTCTAACGTGGGACCTCGCGAACTGTCACATCATTTTTCAGCCAAACCTAGTGGATTATAGGTTATCAACTATGCTAAATCTGAATATCATAGTGGTAGTTGCCCAAGCACCTTCAGAGGGCGGTTTTCTAGAAACTCTAAAAAGTGATCAAAACCTTTCTTAACGAGGGAACGATTGTAGCCATCAAATTTCCGATTAAAATGAGGCATCACCCAGCTCTACACGATCTGGCTTTGCAAAGTTATAGAATTTACAAGTAAAACCCTAAATTAATTTCTTTTTATTTCTGTAGCTTTAGCTGACGATGAACATTTAGGACTTTTCTTGTAAATTCCGCTCTCTGAGGGCTCCTGGACAGCGATCACTATAATATCCGGATTCAGCATAGCTGATAACCTATAACCCACTAGGTTTGGCTGAAAAAGCGATGTGACACTTCGCGACGTCCCCTCGTAAGCTGTATAACGTATGATTTCTGCTTACTGTAGTACAATACGTGCATTTTTCTATTTTCATGTCTAACTTTTTCTTGATAATCGAATCGTTGATTATTATTTGATACTATTTATTCTTTTAACTCTTTTAGAGAAACCTACTGCAACTAAATTCAAGACTACAATTAAAAAGTATATTTCGACCGACAAATGATTTGACATTGCCCTTTAAAGGTTTGATTTTTGAACCCTGAGAACTCCATTAACCTAATAGCCTTGACAATCTGTTTATGTTGATTGCCTTAGTCCATGATCTATAGAAGAATGTAATGGGACTTGAATCATCCCATTCGCCTGGTCACGGATATGGAGTTTAAAATAATGACAGTTTCAACTTCTGGAAATCTCAAGTCTAAAGAAATATTTTGAGAGATTCATTCACACGAAAACATCTCATATTTTAGACAGGATGTATTTCGATATTAATAAGAAATTTTCATATTACCCTTTTGGAAGATAATAAGCCCTGAATAACTAAACTAACTACATCTGACGATTTTTTATTCGAATTCTGTGATCTTAAACATATATTCTTTTTCCTATCCTCAAGATACATTATGACTATCTTTAGCTGTGATACACTGATATAACAGCATTCTCTTTGTCTTTGATGACAAAATAAGATAAATGAAAGACGTGATGATTTGTAAAATATAGTACAATATATTTTTTTTAGAAAAAATATCTCATACTCTCTTTTAAAACAACAACACAAGGTTTTTTTCGTACCTGTCGTCATGTCATATAAAAATCTGTCTTCTCGAACATAATAAGTTGAATATGCTGAATTGATGATTAACAGCGTCGGATGACAGTGTACATCGACCATATTTAGATTACACAAAAACATAAAGCAAACAACCTATCGTTGAACAGATTATATTTCAACACTTGCTATCGATATAGAGTAAGATGAGGCAATTAAAGTCAATAGTGCAATTTTTTTTTTTTTCTAGTGTTTCAGACATAAAACATTTTTAATCTAGAAAAACGGTACTGAATGAGCATTTTTTCAATAAAAATCATTTGATGAACTAAATTGGAATATAATCAAAAATTAATTAGTAACTCTTAGGTAATTGACTGATATGAAAATTAATTCCTATTAATTAACGCTAATGAATTTTAAGATAATTAGTACATCAATGGATGAAACCAAAGGTGAGATCAATCTACCTGTTCAACATCGTTCTTGTTTTTTCAATGAAAAACGATTTGGCTATGTCAAAAATACTAGAAAAAAACAAAATATATACAACGTTGATCATAATTACTTCATCTTACTTCATACATCTTTAAACGCAAAATGAGAATAGATCAAATAAAAAAAATTATAAATTCCCATATCTTAAGTGTAGAAGACTAACGGGTGGCGCATAAATAAACGCACTCCCGTATTTTGAATGTAACTCCGCCGGCTTTTATCCTATCGATCCAAATTTTTTTCCAAAAGATTCCTTATTGAATTCTCTACAAAAACATGTCATAACAATTTTCTTAAACTGACGTGCAACGGAGTTATATGAGGATGAAGCACATGTGGTAAAAATAGCAACTTTCCAAGAAAAATTTCCATTTTTTCAAGTTTCCAAAGCTCGATGACACTGCAGAAAAAATCCGAGATAGCCATTCGAAAGAGCATAAAATTCCACATCTGAAACTGTAACAGATAAATTTTTAGAAGCATAACTTGAGGTATAAAACGGGTATTTATTTTTCGATATTTCTGAAAAAAACA